GTACGGCATTTAACTACAATGGTACTGGTTTGCCTATTTCATATTATATCACATATATTATTACATTTATTTTCCATTCGGCACATTATTATTACTATTATTATTATTATTATTATTATTACTTTTTTTTTTTAATTATCTATGCTATTAAATTAGAATTAGTCCCCTTAACCCCCCCCCCCCCCGCCCACCCCTCCTGTCTCCCCAAACTTAAACCCCTCAAACAATTCCTTTAAGAGCAGCAGAAAAAATGGTTCGGTCATCTGGCGAGATTGCAGAGGTAACAACTGCCACAAAGAGCTGCGCTAAATAAATATAATAAATACTTAGCAAAATGAAGACCACGCATTAGATGAGCGATGTAAAAAAACAGTCATAAGGATGTGAAATAAACAGTATCTTCTGCAACGTAATAGAAGATCGTACACCAAAGATCCTTTCCTCTCTCCCCAACATGTCGATCAGGTAGCTAGCGTAAGAGACACATAAATCTTAGAATAGTTACAGACGCTCTGAGCTATTGTGCAGGTGGTGATAAATGCATCATTCTACAAACCAATCGGCACTCGAGAGAGGATTTCTTCAACGCCAAGCCGGCCGCTTTCACTACATAGGGAATTTACTTTGTGCCCGCTTTAAACAGAGATACTTCGGAGTCGCAGACATTTGTCTGTAAAATTCAGACTTGACACAGATACAAAACGAGAGAAAACAATACGTACTTATCTGATGAGTTGTGGTTACGGCAATGATGATTACTAAATATGCAGTACGTATCTGGAACAAAAAAAAAACGTTAATTCCGTGAGGGTGTTTCTAACATCTGCATGGAGGTGTTTCACAAATGCATTATTAAAGGTAAACGATTGCAGTCTCTCCTCGTCTTCTCTTGCAACACATTAGTTCCAAAAGGAATTAGGCGCCTCGATCAGTTCAAGCTTCAAGTAATCCCTATGCGTTTACCGACTAGCTGGCACAGTTATGCACTAACGCATGCGGTAAGAAGCATGGACAGAGCTAGTTAGTTAGTTAGTTAGTTAGTTGGGTTATCATCATTGCACTCCGGACATGTCCATAGGTGCTCAGATCCTCCCCTCAGTATGAATCCCAACGTCCGATGGCTAATAGTACCAGTTCTATGTTGATTAACAAATCTTCTGACGTGTCCGGTGTGCGTCTCGTTTTTTGCTGTGCCGATCTTAATTCCCAAGTCTGCCATTCTGGCGAGTGATGTGGATTCACTGCCACCAAAGTCCTCTATCCTTCCCATTTCTCTGAGGGCATTGATAATATCTGCATGATCCATAGGCCGACCGTCGGTAGTGATAGCGGATCCAGCCAGCCTGTCAGCTCTTTCATTTCCATCGACGCCTGCGTGTCCCGGAACAAAAATAAAGGTGACTCCTCGCACAGTGGACTTCTGAATTGATTCAAGCCATTGTCTTCGCACTGAACCTGCCTGAACCCTCCGGATCATACTCATTGAATCACTGAGTATACATATGCGGGTGTATTTTTGTGTTTCAAGCCAGGCAAACGCTTGCGTCACTGCCATCACCTCCATCGTCATGCTGCTGGTTGTCATGGAGAAGGCGCCGTTGGCTTCTTTGACTGTTCTGCCCGCTGAGCGTGCTGTAAATGCCCATGCGCTTCTTCTTTGGCGTATAACGGATCCGTCTGTATAGATTAGTGCATCTGCTTCGTCTGAATTTTCACCGATGAGAGCGTTGACCTCTGCATTAACAGCAACAGGATTCTCTTCTCTACATCGCCTGTTGAGTGTGACAATACAGGAAAATGTACAAATAAACGCCTGAGGCACAGGTATCCATTCTGCACCAGGTATGATGTCGGTTAGGCTGCATATTTGCCTAATAACATCTTCCGCCCGACCTAGCCATGATTTTCCCCTCTTCAGTCTGTCGCCCTTTTCACTAAAAAGTGCTTGATGCAGTGGGTGTTTCTTATCAGCACATATTTTGAGGTATGCCCGAGCCCTCCACATCCTGATCCTTTGGTTCATTGTTGGAAAGTCAAGTAGATACCTCATTGCTCCACAGGATGTGTCTCTTGTACATCCCAAAATAATACGCATGGCTTCATTTTGCACCTTCTCGAGTCGTTCAATCTGGGTAGCACTGACAGTGAGGATGGCCAGAGCGTATTCAATGGGGGAAAGGACCAGACCGTAGAATAGAAGCACCAGCAGTCTTTGCTCGATATTGGAAGCAGCCATAATCCTCATTGCAGATAGACCTTTGCGTGCTTTTGTTATCGCATGGTCAACGTGTTCCCTGAATGACAAGCTGCGATCGAACCTCACCCCGAGAAACGTTATAACGTTGGTTCTGATCAATACATTATCACGCATTTTCACTTCTGGTAAGTCCGACTTGACAATGTGATTGTTCAAAGAGAACCATGACACTGCTGCCTTCGAGGGATTGACATAGGCATTGGAACCATCACACCAGGCGGCAATTCGATCGAGTTCTTTGTGCATTGTGCTGGCGATCTCCTGTCTATCACCCCCTTGTCGATAAATCAAAATGTCATCAGCAAATGACAAAGTCCTTCCCTTTCCATTCAACTGCTGCTCAGTGATCATAACCGTATAAACGTTGAATAAGACTGGTGATAGCGGTGATCCCTGTGGCAAGCCTGGACATATCGTTTGCGGTTCTGAGGACCAGCTACCACATCTTAGTGCAATCTTTCTCTGGAACAGGACCGCAGCAATCCAGCGGATCAGAATAGGATTGACTTCTAGTTTAAGCAGTAATTGCATTAAATAATCATATGGTACTTTATTGTAGGCATCTTCTAAGTCCAACACTGCCGCACATGTCTCTTCTTTAATCTGAAATCCCTCGTACACATCGTAGGCGAAAACAGCTGCATTGGACCATGTCTCTTTCTTCAATCTGTACCCTCCAAGTGTTGATGGGAACTTATCATGTAGTTCTAAGTAGGTGGTCAATCTTTGTGCGACAATTTTTTCCAAAAGTTTGCCAACAGTATTCTGCATCGAGATGATTCTGTAGCTGCAGATCTTTGAGTGGTCTTTATTAGGCTTTGGTAGTGGAAACAAATAACTATGGAGCCATTCCTCTTGTATCTGGCCACTCTGGATGCTGATATTGAATTCCTTTGCCACGCTTTTCAAATCAGCATTCGACATCATCAGCATGTCATTGTATCGGATGCCGTCAGGGCCTGGAGCAGTGCTGCGCGATTTCTTGAGGCAAGTTCTTAAGGTGTCTGCAGTGATTGTGAAATCAGTGCCTAGCTCAGTGTTTCTCGCACAGCATCGACAGTTTCATCTTAACCCCTATTCTTGCAGCTTCGTCTTTTTGGTCAGTTTGCTCCAAGTAGCGCGCAAGAAGGGTTTTTTCCTTTATCAGCATCAGTTCTCTGCCATATCAGGTCTGTACCCTGAAAATCAGGGATACCCCTTGGTCGTGCGGCGCCGTGCATGCTCCGTTGAAGGCGCCAGAATGTCACAAGAGATCCCTCGGAGCAAACGCTCTTGCAGAATTCGTTCCATTTCGCTGTCTTGGCTTCTTTCGCAATTAACTTGAAAGCCACTGTCCGCTTGTTGACCTCATCTTTCAGACTGATCAGGCGTTCAGAAAGTGACGGATCAATTTTCCTTGCCTTTTGCCATGCCTTGACAGCGTTCCTTTTTTCTAGCCACGCTTTGTTGACTGCTTCATTCCACCATGGTGGCTGGGCCCATCTCTCCCGCCGTCTGCGATCTGCTCTTGTATTACGTCGTCTGATTTTGCTAATGGCATCTTGCCCTGTACGGTCATA